TTCCGTACACAAAGCTATCATCACGTTTTTAGTTTTATAAGGTGAAATTCAAGATTGCAAAGAGTTCATTGTGTTCTGCAGTGAACCAATATAGAGGTGAATTTATATTGAAACATTGGCTTCATAAGTCATATCGTTTATAGATCTTCACATTAAAGTTAGAAAATACTTTTGTTTTTCTTGTGAAAACTCAAATACTCTGGGTTAAGGTGGAATTGTGTGTCCCAGGCATTTGCAATTATCAGGCTCTGAGGGACATAATAAATCTGATAATGGGTTATCGTGGCGTTGAGCCAAACCCCATTTTCATGGGTCTCTTCCTCTGCTGTGGGGAGATGTGAACTCTTCATGTACAACTTCTTCTTCCAATTTTGTACCCATAGATTGCATAGGAACATAAAGATTTTGTTCTGTACTTCAGATTTGAGCCCAAGAGCTGCAGAAAACCCAAAATGTCCCTTTGGCTCCCTGGGGGGGGTCCCTGCCCTGTGGGAGCACAGCCCAGTTTGAGCCCTGAGCTGAGGTAGTTGCATGTGCTGGAATCACAGAATATTAAGGGTTGGAAGGGACCTCTGGAGAACATCAAGTCCAACCTCCCTGCCAGAGCAGGACCATCTAGTCTGGAAATGGAACCAAGGTGAAGAACAGGGTTAAAGCACCAGCCTCTACACTGCAGCTCCAGTAGCAACCTTGCTAGGGAGGAAGATTCTCTGTAAGGAAAGGAAAACACCCCAAATTCAGCTTTGTTTCTTTATCTAGCCTTTTATTTAGTCCTTGGGAATGCTCAGCCCATTGCTCCCAGTTACACACCCACTGTTGCCCAGGATCTGAGTGTTTTCCTTCATCTGGAGCAAAGGTGGGACACAGAATCCTGTCTCAAGGTACCTTCCCATGTACGTACATACAATTTAAGTGCATCTTCCCCAAATCCCACATTTCTTATTTTCATCTCTCTTTGCAAATGGTGAGCAAAGGTGGGACACAGAATCCTGTCTGAAGGTACCTTCCCATGTATGTACATACAAGTTACATCCATCTTCTCCAAATTTCTTACTTTCATCTCTCTTTGCAAATGGTATTTGAGCTGGGTGTCATCTCCACATCTGTCCAACACACTCTTTTCACATGAACATAGGAAAGTACAGTTGCAACCTGATGTCTTATTTGCTTCCTTAACTTGAAGGGTCTGTAAAATAGTTCAGTACTGTCTGGATGACCTCAGCCTGTTTCAGATTGTTTCATGGTTTCTGATACTTCAAAGGGATGATGTGAAAACTTCCCTTAGCAGCTAAATTTGCTCAGTTTGGTACTGTTGTTTTTTACCTGGAGTAACCCAGGGGATGGTGGCACTGTATTTATGCAGCTACAGGTACAAAGTATTTGGCTTATTAAGTGTGTTTGGGTGGGATCTTTTTGGCGTGGTGACCTCATGTCAATATGGTGTTAGAAACCAATTCAAAACATCACTGTAATTGTAGTGATTTTATTATAAAATCATAAAATCCTGTCATATTATCATAAGTCTTTCAAAGTGTCATATGATGTCTGTAGTTGTCAGAATAGGGAAAAACCCAGGCAAAATTAAACCACTGAATTCCCTGGAAATGTGAGAGCTTTATTCCTGCAATTTTGAGTCCCTTTGTTGAGCCTCTCAGTGACATGCCAGATCCCAACCATACCCCCCACACGCAGTTTGTGCTCTAGGAGATAACCCAGAGATGAGGCAGCTGAATTTGGGACACTTGAGGCAAATCAATTCACTTTGTGCCACCATTCCCAGGCGTAATGGTTTTAGTTCCCATGCAGGGTTGTTGTGAGAAATAGCTAGAATAGCCAAAACTTGGAAGATGCGTTGACTTTGTGGTGTTATTATAAGGTTGTATTTTTTTATGGAGGTGTTTAATGTCTGATTTTGTTTACATTACCAAAAAAATAATGCTCTTATTTAAAAATATCTCTGTAGAGTGAGTAAAGTCTCTTGAGTAGCCGACATCCAGAACTCTGGTAGCAGAAACAGAAGGTATTTGGGTCTAAAAGTGACACATTTGATGCTGCAGTCAGGCACTTTGAGTCATTTGCAGTTTATTTTATACCCCTGCCTTTCTTTTACCACTTTGCTGTATTTGTAAAGTCAAGGTTTTTCTTTTTTCCAGCAAAACAAAAAACAATACTACCAAAATAAAGATGGATTGTTAAGTGCTTGTGTTCCTGATGTGTGTGTTTTAGGGGTATAGGGGATTAGGGGAAATAGGGGGATTGTTTCCCAAAGCCTTTGCTATTCCCTGAGGCTTGCAGGGGATTTAATTAATGATATTAATATGAATTAATCCAGCCCAACTTCAGGCTGGACGTGACCTGGCGGCAGCTGCGTGACCCTGGCACCCCTCGTCCTGCACCTGCAGGGATGACTCATGGTCATCACTTCAAAGTCAACCCCACTGAAAAAGAATTCATTTTTCTGCTTGGATCTGTGCCCCAGCCTGGGTGGCTGGGTGGCTGGAGCACCCCTGGGTGAGGCAGAAAACCCCCAAAAAATTCATTCTGAACTTGGTGCAAGTTTCCCATAAAAAGAATTCATTTTTCTGCTTGGATCCGTGCCCCAGTCTGGGTGGCTGGGTGGCTGGAGTACCCCTGGGTGAGGCAGAAAACCCCAGAGAAATTCAGTCTGAACTTGGTGCAAGTTTCCCAGGTTTTCACGCTGATTTTTCCCTCTTGATGTGTTAGGGGCAGCATGCCATTTGTTTTCTTTAAAGCTGTAAAATTCATTCATTCCCTTGTCATACCCCCTCGAAGAGACCTTCAGAAAGTCACTAATTCAGCATGTGAGATTTCTCCTTGATAAGAGTTTCCTGGAGCTTTCAGTTCCTATTTTTCTTGAAACGTGTTGCTTGGAGTGTTCCCCTCGGAGGGTGCTGGCTCCATCCCAACCCCTCTCCTCTTCCTGGGAGGTAGAAAAGCTGATCCAAGGCTGGTCCTGAATCTCAGAAATCCTGTGGAGCAACTGCTTGGGGGTTTAACTGATGATATTTTGAGATGCTCTGTGCTCTCCAGCTCTTTTCAGTGAAGCCCCAGTGAGTTGCCTTGGACTGGGGTCCCACTTGAGAGGCAGAGCTGGGAGCAGTACACAGGAGGGGAAACCCCAAAAAGTGCTTTGAGCAGGTGTTTTTATGCTAAAAAGCATTTTGTGTAGATAACATGCAAGGTGCACACTGTGGCAGGTACTGCCAGCACGCTGGCATGGGGCACATGGTGGAAATGTGATGGTTTGTCAGTGGAGTGCACCTCAGATGTGCTTTCTGCAGTCACCAGCAGCCTTCTCAGTTTCTGCCTTGTGAAGAAGTGGTGCAGGAAAACATTCTGCTCCTCTCCTACATGAGCTCATTCCTTGAAAATGAGTAAATTGGCAGCTGCAGAAGAGCTACGGCCTTTTGCTAAGCAATAACCAGACAGCTTTTGTGTTTTCAGTCAGCTCTGCAGATCAGATGCAGAGTCCTGAAGCTGTTGGGAGTTGCAGGACAGTGAAATCCCTTTAAGGAGTTGAGTTAATGTGTGGCTGCACACCCCTCCAACTCCTCTGGGTTTCCTGGCCTATCTCATTTTCTCACCTCCCTGTTTTGAATGCAGATCTGCTGGAAAACAATTAAAAAAAATAAAAATAAGCAAAACCAAAACCAACCCACCCAAAAAACTCCATCCTGATTCTGACTGTGCAGCAGCTGCTGGAAAAGCAATGAAAAGCAATGAAAAGCAATGAAAAGTTTTCTGGCCATGGCTTTTTCCAGAACTTGTAAGCTCAGTAGAAACATGTCCTGTTCCACACATTGCACGTGTCGTATCAAACCCTGCAAATTGTCCTGCTGCTGTCTGCAAGCTGTGGGCCAGCTGCTTGTAGGCATTGCTCCTCGGTGGGGTCAGTGCTCCAGAAGCATGGAGAGTGTTTGGGCTCTGACGTCAGGCTGGAGAGGGGCATGGCCATGGGGCTGGGCTGCACGCTGAACCTTCTCCAGGGCTCCAAAGAGACAACAAGCCCAGAGAGAGCTGGAGGAGACTTCTTTCTGGTGGAAAGCACGTTATCAGGTAAGGAGTTTCGTATTTCCCTTTTGTGAAGTGAGGAATTAGACTCGGAGTGTTTTCATGCAGGGATTGTGCCTGGTGATTCATTTTTTCCTTATGAATTTCGTGCAGTGTTGGGCTGGATGAGGGAGAGCTGCACTTTCCAGCTCTGCTCTCTAACAAGCATTGAGCTCTGCATCAAAGTCTTTCAAAGGAGCAGAAATATTTTGTCTTTCTGGGGGCGTGTGGATTTTGATTCCTGCCAGTTGATGCACTTTGGCTCTAGGTGAAGAGCCACAGGTTGAGTGCTTGGTCCTCTCAGCTCACGATCCCTCTCTTTGCTCCCCCTCCTCCAGCTTTGCTATCACCAGTAAAGCTCCAAAAAACCCCAGACCCTCAGCTGTATGAATTCAAGTGATGAACTTTGATACAGGACAGGTTCAGAGCTGGTTTTCTTGCGTTAAGTGTAGGAAAAATCCCACCCTGTTTCAAAAGCTCCATTAAAGAGTAGAGTCAGTACAAATCTGTCTCCTACCTCCCAGGAGATAAAGCCAGGGCTGTGTAGGGGCCACACGCAGGGGTTTGTGTTTGCAATAGCTGGCAAACAGGAGGGTGTGGGGCCAGCACGTCCACCTCTGCACTCCCCACGTGCAGGGATTCATCACTGCCTCTCAGGAAGCTGGAGGCTCCTCTGGGAACCTCTTGAAGCAGCACATGTTGCTTTCTTCATAGCCAGCATCCAGAGGTTCTGCCAGTGCTCCTGAAGAGCAGCTTGCTTTTAGTCTCAAGATGCTGGGTTAAGTTTTTATTAGAGGGGAAAAAAGAAATCCAAGCATGTGCCAAATAGGAAATCCCTTGGATGGTAAAAAAATGAAGTGGTTATAGGGGACACCCCTTCCTGGGACAACTTAGAGCAGAGCTAGACACAGGACCCCAGTAAAAGTTACCACAGTGTTTAGGGAGAATATTCCTGGAGGGCAAGACATTTGGGGCATTTGTTGGTCCCTTGGGAGGGAGATGCTTCCAGAGTCCTCCAGTGATGCTCTCAACTGGTTTAAAGCTTCTCAAACACTGTTGCCTCCAAATAAACACCCAACATGTGGTTTTGTCTTCTGCATCTGAGGTTTGGAATCGTAGACCTTGTAGAAGCATCTCTCCTGCTTATGTTTTGTGTCTTTTTGATATCTAATCAAAAGTTATTTTTTTCCTGATGAAGTTGATGCAGCCTTTGTAGGCAGCATCACTTGTTCAACTCTCTGGCTTCACGTTTCAGCTTCCAGTGGTATTTGCTTCTTGCTCCACAGGCAAAGATAAGACTAAAACTGCTAGAAATGTAGTTGGAATTTTCTACAAAGTTTTAGGTTTACTCCATCCTTTTTTTTAATGAAGTATTTGTTACGTCTGGAGAGATTCAGTGCAGTTTTTACAAGACCATCACACTTTTAATGACATTCAAGTATTCCAGAGTGACCCTTTGTTTACTGCCCCAGTATCCTGGGCTGGGCTGCTGCTTTCAGTTCACAACAACTCAAATCCAGACCTGGGCAAAAAAAAAGTAGCAATTCCTAGAAACCCCTTCCTAATTGCCTTTAGCCTTTGTAGGCTGCAGTGGGGGAATGTGGGTGAAAGCTCCAGGGAAAGCAGAGTGCTGGGGTGATGAGTCTTATGCCAACACTCAAAGGGTAAACAGGGATTCTGGGTCCAGCACCTCTGGTGTATGCAAATATTTAATTCTTCCAAAAACAAACAAGGAAGGGACCAGAGCCATGGAACCATTTATTAACTCCAGCTGCCCAATCTGGGGAATCAGGAAATGCTGTCCGAGGGGAAAAGAGCACTGTGCCTTTGAGGTTGTTTTTCAGTTTTGTTTTCAGCCATTTTAAAGGATTCAAATACAAAAACATGTTCTGAAGTTCCCTCCCCTCCTCTTCTTCCTGGAAGGTCATGAAACCAGCCCCTGATACTGTTGTTCTTGCACTGGGTATTTGCTGCTCGGCCACATGCTCCAAGTTGGAGCTGAAATAAATATTCCCCATAAAAATATCCCCCAATAAATACTGCCTGCTTGGTATTTAGGAGGGTACAAAGAGACACATTAGTGCTTGAATGCTGCCCTGCTCCTGCTAAACTAGAGTTACAATTCATTCTATTAGCATTTGGGTGAAAACAGGACAAATTGGTCTCTTAGCAGCTTGCTGAAGAGAGATAGTGGCAACAGCTATTTTAGGCTACTTTTAGCATTTAATCAGGGTTTTTAATTTGGGCTCCTGGCTGTCAGCTTCCTTCTCCCTGTAGATGAGGTGGGGAGGAGGCATGTGTGTATTGGGGATGTTTTAGGGTCTATGATGCTATCTGGAGCAGAGGAGCAGCGACTTTTCCAACACACCATGTGTCTAAGACATGAATTCTCTGCAAGGAATTTGGAATCTGAGGCTCAGCTCACACCAGAGCACCTGCTCTCAGGAGCTGGGCTTGACACTGCTGCTGCAGGTTGTGTGTGTTGTAAGTGTTTTGAGTAACTGTTTAAGAAAAAGAAAATGAAATTTTATGTCTTCATTCCTCTCTATGCCGTTCAGTCTTTCCACACTTTTAGTAGAGGGCAGACTGGCCTCTCTGTGGTTAATTTTGTGTAGATGAAGAATTGGATGATAGCAAATTGAATGCTTCTTTTTACAATGCCTCTTGGGGAGGAAGAAGGATGAGTCTGTGCACGTGGAAGAGGCAGCTGAGTCCAGCCCAGCTCTGTGTTCCCTTGCATGGTCTTGGATTATTTCCTTTGAACTTCTCCTTGGTCGTCCAAACGGCAAAATGGAGAGAAGTTCTTAACCTTTGGCATTTTATTGGCTTCCTCTGAAGTGGTGTTTACCTAATTAAATAAAATAACTTCCAGTGACCTGTTTTATTTTGGATGACACTATTTTCTTTCTCATCCTAGCTGGGAAAATGCAGGGAATACTCAAGAAAGCCTCAAAATTATTCCAGCAAACCTGTGCTCTGCTATGGAAAAACATTCTTCTGGTGTGGAGAATGAAGACAGAAAGTTTTCAGGCAAGTATCACTCCTTCCAGAGAGAAGTAAAAATTTCCACGACAAAAATATGTTTACATTGCATTATTTTCATGAATCTGTGAGAAGCCTCAGCTGGTAACCTGGTTCTCTGGAACATGTCAGCAGTTATGACACCACCACATCACAGCAGAATGAGGGCTTGTCACAAAGCTGCCTTGTTGCTTTGGGTTGTTGAGCCCATTTCTGCACTGCCCAGAGGAACACGGTGTTCGATTGCTGATTATGGAAGTAAAATCACCAGCAGAGCTGACTGGCTCCACTATTAAGAAAACATGTTTTTTTCACTTGGAATCTTACTCATATTTTAAAATTATTTCACCTGTGAGACAGTTCTTCCTCATTTACAGAAAAAGGCATTCATGGCCAGAGGAGCTGGACCTTGCAGGATGAGAAGGGTCCTTGCAAACATTTCCCATACCACCCAACCTCCATGTCACTGGGCTCCCACTCACCTTTGAAATTCCTCCCTAGAGGAACACGGTGTTCGATTGCTGATTATGGAAGTAAAATCACCAGCAGAGCTGACTGGCTCCACTATTAAGAAAATATGTTTTTTTCACTTGGAATCTTACTCATATTTTAAAATTATTTCACCTGTGAGACAGTTCTTCCTCATTTACAGAAAAAGGCATTCATGGCCAGAGGAGCTGGACCATTCAGGATGGGAAGGGTCCTTGCAAACACTTCCCATACCACCCAACTCCATGTCTCTGGGCTCCCACTCACCTTTGAATTTCCTCCCTTTCATCTAGGAATGGATTACATCACTGTTTCTTCTCTTAATAATACATATATCATCAAGTGTGATATCCCACTACCCACGGAATGAAATCCCTTATGAATTCCTTGGACAACTGGATGATCCAGCCTTCAATGCTACGGGACTTACACTGGCATACACACCCGTGACTCAATCCACCAGGCAATTAATGAGCAAAGTGGCTTCAGATTCTGTAATCACAGGTAATGCTGCTTGAAAATCCTTGTTTTGGGGGCGTTGTCTGAACTGACCCTGACACAATCCTCAGTCATTGGAAGGGGGGAAGCATTTGGACAAAATTTTTTGAGGGTAAAAATTGTGGCTGGTGCCCATTCTTGTGTTGTTTCATCACTAATCAAAGTTTCATCAGTTATCATCAGATATAATAATATCTTTCAGAGTTTTTTTTATCCTTTTGTGGTGTTTTTTTGTTTTGTTTTGTTTTCTTTTTTTTTTTTTAATGCCAGGTATAATAATAGAAGAGGTGGAAAATGAGGAAAAACTGGAAACAAGAGGAATTTCAGAGGATAGCGTTATTGGTGTTGTTTTTAAGGATGACTTCTCCTACTCTCTCAGATTTCAAAGCTACAGTGTGGTGTTTCCAAATGATGCTTATGAACACATAGGTAACAAAAGAAATGAAATCAGAAAACTTGATTTTACTCTTAAAAAATGCTTAGATGGATGTCTGTGCTGCCACGCGGCTCAGAAGGGACTGAGGCTGTATGTGCTAAACGTTTCAAGAAAAATATTAATTAGAATTTGAGGTTTTGTTCCCTTAGAAGGAAATAAATGTCAGAGAAAAAAGTCTTTAAGAACACAGACACACTCTCCATGGTCCTTTTTGTCCCTCTACTTTCTATCTCTTACCATGTCAAGTCATAGCTGGAAAACGAGCGTTGCACGTGCACTAATGTACTTCTAACATATAGTGCAGGGATAATTAATACATTAAAACATAAACCTCCACACACATTTGTCCACATTACTAATTCTTTGGCAAAATGCACCCCTATTTACTGACTAGAAGTAGTAAACTAGCCAAAACCAAAAGCAAGCTTATTATCAGATAAAAATCAAATGAGTTCATCTGTTGAAGGAAAAAACCAAAAAGTGTTTTGCTAAGAGCTGGTCTTGGAAAATGGAAATAATGGTGAGATTATTTATTCTGTCTATGCAAGTCAGCAGCTCTTTGCAGGTGTGAGCCCAGCTCCAGTGTGCTCTGGGTTTCCTCAAGGTTCTCCTCCCCTCCCCTCGGCACTGGGCGCTCTTACGGTCACTGTACTTTGAGCCTGGGCTCCTGCCAAAAGAGGAGAGCTGAGCATGGCCAGCTCCTCTGTGCCCTGAGACAGGCTTGATGCCACGTCAGGTGGCCCATAAATCCCAAGCCACCAACTCCCAATACCATATTATTCTTGGAGAAAAATATCTGCTCCAAGAATAAGGCTGAGTAAAACTAAATCTTGATTTCCTGACCCTTAGGTCAAATCCATTTTCAGCCCCACACACTATATATTTATATACACATATTTATGGAAATACATAGATTAAATTAGTCCTTTTATTTCTTCTTTCTCAGATACCTGCTTCAATTTCTCATCAAGTAACTGCAAAATTCCTTTGTACTGGTATGCAGGTTTCCTATCAGTGCAGTCCAGCATTGATGCAGCAGTTATAGAAGTAAGTATGACCACGAGGGAAAAGATGTTTTCTGTTCTTCCCAGAGTTATCTGTAAACTTAAAAAAACCCAACCACACAAAAGAAAAAACACCCAATCAGTTCATTTTCTGTGATCATTAACTTTTTAAACACAGAGTGTGACTGAAAAGTCAAAGGAATGATAGATTGTTCTCATGGCTCAAGGCAGCACTGGTGCTTATTGCAAAAAGACACTAAATATAGAGTATTTGTCACTTATAAATGTCACATTGTTATTGACAAACATCATTTTGACGCCCATAAAAACCTGTTTGTTCTGATGTTGGCTGGTTTATTACAGGCAAACTAATTAATGGCTGGTTTATTTCATTTAGATGAAAACAAACCACTCTGTCTGGGAAGAGATGAAGTCGATCGGCGGCGTTCGTCTGAAATCACCCTTGATGAAACCTGTCTATAAACTGGATTATATTTGGTTCATTGTTTACATCGTGTTGTGCTTCTCCCCACATATGTACTTTGTGTCAGTGAAAGCTGTAAGAGAGAAGAAGAAGCTCAAGGTGTTAATGAAGGCAATGGGTTTGCAGGACAGCGCGTTCTGGTGAGTCTTGGAGAAATGAGCTGTATAATTCCAGGATTTCTGTTATATTCTGTATATAAGATATCTACCAGCTTGCAGGATAGATGTGGGTCTGGTACCACCACTCAGTACTTCCCCAGACCCCAGCAGCCATCATTTACAACTGTCTAACCACATATCCAGGTTCTCTGAAGCCAAGCTTTGTGTTTTGTTGGAACAGTGCTTTGCTGCTTTTATCTGTAACATCCCATTTGCTGGGGGATCCCAGTTCCCAAGAACGTTGCTCTGAGACTGGATTTTTTTTGTTGTTATACTTAGCTGTGGTCTCCTCCCCATGGAGCAGAGGTGCTGTAGCAAAGTTCTTGGTGTTGAGATGTTGCTTGTCTCCAGGAAATGGGTGAATACACACAGAGAATGCAAAAAGTGAAAAAAAAAAACATCAAATTTTGGAGAGGATGCCCAAGGAGGAAGCACAGGAGGGACACATTTATTTGATGCAAACGCATTTATTTGATGCAAAAAAATAAAACCCCAGGCAAGCTGTAAATAAAGAGGGTTCTTCATGAAGCCAAAGCCTTCAAGTCCTTCAAGGACTCTTGTGCACTCTTACCATGACAAAACTTATGGCAGAACAGAAACCTCTGCAAAAACCTTTAAAGAAATCACAGCTTGGATGTTGACATGAAGACACTTTACCAGGCAACTGCCATCTTCCTTGGCTCCACAGTCACAGAAGAATGATCCATATTTGGTGTAAGAAATCTCATGATCCTTGTGACAAACTTTAGCACAGACAGTGCAAACACCAACACCATCAACCATCTTGCAGGTGTGGTATCATCTTGCAGTGATACCTAAATCGTGTCTATCAAAAGAGGCTTCCAAAGCCTTCTGAGCATCAGTTGGTCACATCATTAGGAAAAGAACAAGTGATCCTGGCTGCAGAGCCTCTGCTTAGATGCTCCGTGGTTCCTTCCTGGCATCATTACACCTGCAGAGATTTGGGTAAGGTGCAAGACATGGATATTTGCACCTTTCCAGTGTGGAAATTATAAATGAAAGTGTATTCCTGTGTTGTGTTGACTGTTCTATGGCCCATGCTGTCATGTACAGAGGCAAAAATAACTGTGCCTTCATTTGCAGGTTGTCCTGGAGCTTGCTGTACCTCGTTTACATTTCAATCACATCAAGTCTGCTGACACTGATCACCATTGCCCAAGTCCTCCATGACCACAGCTTTGCTGAAATCTATTTTTATTATTTCTTTTATGGCATAGCATCTGTAAGTCTGTTTTTTTTGTGTTCTTAAATGATGCACAATGGGGATTTATTTTTTTTTAAGGAAATCAAACATCTGAAACTCAAAGACTACAGAGTCCTCAAGGGCTGGGCATTGTATGAGAAAGTAACAAAACCTCCTCCACTGCTGGGATTTGTCATTCTCATTTGCAGGCTAACATGTCAGTCCTGGTACATTTTGGGAGGCTCTGACTTGAAACCAGAGTAAAGAGAGGTGCTCACTCCAGCATGAATGGAGAAGCTGGGGCTGCCTCCTGGAATTCAGCCTCCTCAGGAGACCAAGGGGTCTGATCTTGGTAGAGCTGCCCTAGATGTCAGAGCTGTCTGCTAAAAGATGGGAGCCTCATGAATTATGCTTGTTGGGTTTTCATGTTGGGTTTTTCAGCTGCCAGCAGAAATGCATCCTGCTCACTCCTGGTTTTCTTTGCAGATTCACTTCTGTCTCATGCTCAGCTCTTTGTTAAAGCAGCCAAATATTGCCAGTTTCGTGGGATTTTTCCTTCACATCATCTTTGGATTGCTGGGTTATTTGACCTTGTTAGACAAACTACCACCATCTTCAGAGTGGTTTCTTAATATCTTCAGTCCTTTTGCCTTTACTGCTGGCATCTCAAAGGTATGTTCAAGATAAAGCCATCATGAAAGTTCAGCTCACAGCAAACATGCTGCAGACTTCTGCCAGATATCAGTAGCTGTCACACACATTCTGCACTGCCACAATCACCCACTCACACCCCTCTGCCCTGGATGCACTGCAGAAGAAATATTGACTCCCAAAGTAGATGCTAATTTATAGCAAATAGAGTTGGACTGTCAGCTCCAGCACAAATTTTACCAGCTCTGTATAGACAATAAGCTTTCATCTCTGGAAAACTATTGCAGCAGTTGGATGTGGCTGGTGGGTACCAAGATCTGCAAGAACCATGAGTTCTTGAAGTGCTGCCTTAGCAAATGCCATGGGCATCACTCTGCTGGTGTAACCACTTCTGCACAACTCAGAATTGAGCTTACTGAAGCACTCCTGGGGCTTCTACTCAGAATAAAGTGTTGCCTGTTTAGAAACAGCATCATGATTACACGTGGGCATGGTTTTCTGGTGAAAATGGTGGTGATGACACAGCAGTGACTCACACTTAGTACTTCTGGCTAAGGAAAGTGTTGCATCTGACTTGTGCTTTGTGGTTTTTTTCCTCCCTAGATGGTCAAACTAGGAATATATGGACTAACCTTTACACCAGAATTGTACCCGTTGTTCAACTTATATGCCATATTGAGCTTTGACAGCATCTTGTATTTGCTGTTGGCCATTTACTTTGATAAAGTTTTACCTGGTAAGTAGAAATGTGAGAGGGGAAAATACACAAATTTCCTTATATTCTTCTTCTATAATCTTCATGGGGAAAAGATGCCAAAGGGCCAATGGGATAGTGCTGAGAAAACTGTCATCTCCATGGGGCAACAAAAAAGGTGTCCCAGTAGCTTCTGGAAGGGCATCTTAACAGCAGTGAGCCTTGCCATGTTATGTCAGGGGCTCAAAACTGGGTTTGCTGTACTGCTCAGGAAAAAAAATGGTTGGGGAGAATCCTGTTTTCCCAGATTCTTACTGGGAAAAGAGTGAGGCAGTGAGATCCTACTCCAACAACCCAACCCTTTGGTTTAAAGGGATGTTGTAGAACTTGACCACCTGGGCCAAAGGGGTTGTCAGCAAAGTCTTTGCTGTGATCCCCACCTGCACTGACAGATCTGGACGAGTGAACAACTCTTAATTGTAGAAATTACCATTTTTTTTATGCTGCTGCAGGTCTGTATTCTGCAGCTACAGATGGCTGGGCTCATTTAGCAACGCTGGGCTGCCGGGTAGCAGGTTGTGGCTGACATTTCACCCCCTCTGCTTCTGCACTAGGGAAGTATGGAGTCCCATACCCACCCCTCTTCTTCCTCAGCCCCTCGTACTGGTGCCAGCCCAGGGGGGGGTACGTGGGGGTGCGAGCTGGCACCGACAGCAGCCAGGACCCCACCTCCAGCAGTAACGCCGAGCCGATGCCTCCGGGTTTTGATGGGAAGGAAGTAATCAGGTAAAGACTCCTGTAGGCACAAAAAAAATACTACATGTTGTTATTTGTATCCCTAAGGGGCTGGTTTGGCCCCTTGCTGTTGCTGCCTATGGCTTATTACTAGAAAGCAAACATAAATCTGCTAAAATAATAGCGAGGTCATCACTTTTAATTGCATAACCACGTGTTTTCTCACTCCCTAGGGCCTCCCCCTTCATTCACTAAGTGTTCATTCAGTTTGAAATATATTTAGACATCTGTTCTAAAACTACATTAGGTAACTCTGCTTTTAAGTGGACACAAAATGAAATACATAAAAGCAATTCCTTCAGACCCTAACGAGCTGGACCAGTTTGAGGAGGAGCTTGGGAAGCATTCTTCCAACAGTTTTCAAAGATTATTTCAAGGCAGAGGAAATATCCCAAAGCTGTGAGACTCAATAGTAATTGTTTGCTTACTTTTCCTTTAGACTAAACAATATTGGGAAATTATACAAGAAAAAGGACAAGAGAACCGAAGCTTTAAGTGGTAAGAGAGATTTTGTAATTCTTCAGATTTCATTTTTCACTAGATATGAACTGAAACTGTTTTGAAATATAGGGGATGTGTTTAACCCTGCCTCCAGCACTGTAAAATATGTTATGCAATGGTTATTTCTGCTGGGTAAATTGCTGGCAAATTTCTACCAGGTTGTTATCTCCTTGTTCACTCCAGGAAAATTACTGGTTATTATTTTTTTGCAAAAGCAAAAGCCTCCTTAAAAGCTGTGCATTTTGCAGTGATGAACCACTCTAAAAATCCCATCTCAAACCTCTCTTTTCAATATATAAGCTGTTTGGGGCAAATAAAACTTGGGGTTTTGGTCCCTGGCTGCAGCTGAATCTGCTGCCACAGTCTGAGCCATGTTCTCCAAGCACTTACACATTGGCCAGCTCACTTGCTGGCAAGGTCAGAGCATAGTCATGGGACATTTGTTAAAAGGTTTTGTTTAACAAGGACTCCAAGTGACAGTGAAAGTATCAATATGGTCTCAGAGGTTTATAGTGAGTAAAAAAAAAGCCCAAACAACCCACCAAAATACAAACCAAGTCTTTTTGTTGGAGGGAAATGAGGCAGCAAAGTCTGGCTGCTCTGAAATAGCTCCTGAAATCTCCCACCTTGGAGAGGTGATGGGCTCTTCTCTTTCTGTGGACTCTCTTGAGTCAGGCTAAAATAAAAGGTTATGAGCCTCATAGAAAACAGAAGTCAAAATTATTTAAATATAGAAACTAATACACTTCCCTCAAATCAATCTAGGCACGACTGCCAATCCCTTCCTAAATTTAATCCTAACTTCTGAAGATGTAGCCCTTGGTTTTGGGTCTGTGTTTTCACAGAATCTCCCTCCTCTGACCTACTTGGCCACAAGCTGTAGGTACAAATCTATCTCTCACCAACTTGCCCCCTAATGTCATCCTATTTCTATTCCAGGCTTGACCTTGAATATCTATGAAGGTCAGATCACTGCATTACTTGGTCGCAGTGGGTCTGGAAAAACTGCTCTCTTAAATGTGCTCAGTGGGTTTTCCAAGCCTTCAGCAGGTAAGATGATGGACCTCATGCTGAAGAGAAGAAGCTATTTGGTTTTTTTTTCAAGTACAAGGGGGTAAATATCCAAATCCACTGAGTTTTCCCTCAGTCTGATCTGTTCTCAGTGCAGATTGCTGCATCAAGATGAGCTTCAGGGCCAGTGCTTCTGTTGTGGGTGTGCTTGCTTGTGTATAAATGGTTATTTCTCTGTGAATCCTGATGTGTTCCATGAGCTGCCTACTTAGAGCAGATACAGTTCAGCTCTTGAGGGAGAGATTTGATGCTCTAAAACATTTTTGAATGGTATTAAAGTTTTGGGCAACACAAAGTTATTTTGCCTTTTTTTTTTAAACACTTGAGGAGCATCCCCAGTGCTGGAATTAATATCCAAGGTATGAGCACAGAGCACTGACTGGGAGATCCACTACAGTGTGGAACTGGTTTCATCCTTTCCTGTATGCAGGTTCTGCAATGATCTACAACTACAACGTTTCTGAAGTACAGGGTATGGAAGGAATTCAGGCAATCGTTGGGATTTGCCCCCAGTTTAATTTGCACTTTGAAGCTTTAACAGTGAAGGAAAATCTCAGAATTTTTGCTCACATCAAGGGGGTTCAGCGGAAGGAAGTCGAGCAAGAGGTTGGTATGTGCTTCTCAGTCACTGACTTCTGTTTTGTGGCAGCTTGGACATTTTGAGCTTTCTTTATAAAAGATTATCACCAGCATCTTGTTCTGTGCAAATAAGAACAACCCTAATTTAGTGCAGAAGTGTATTTTCAATTCTTTCTTATCCTGAAGTCACAAGATTTCGATTTGCAGTATTTATCTCTAAGCAAAGACATATAAAGTAGACAAGTTTTAAATCTTGAACTTATACTTTCCCACCACGTGTAAATATTCATGAACTAAACTGCAACCAGTGCTTTGAAAATCTGGCTTTTGTCTTTGTCTATCACCAAGGTGCAGAAAGTTCTCACGACTCTGGACCTCACTGACCTTCAGGACGTTCGTGCTGATACTCTGAGTGGGGGACAGAAAAGGAAGCTGTCTCTTGGAATTGCAATTTTAGGGAATCCCCAGGTAGGGACCGGTCACATTTACACACACAGCACATCCTGTTTTAACACCTAGCTTTGCATCTTGCCATGGCTTTGCCTTTGCAGGTGTTGCTTTTAGATGAGCCAACAGCTGGGTTGGATCCCTGCTCCAGGCACCACGTGTGGAGCCTCCTGAAGGAACGTCAGGCTGGGCGTGTGACACTTTTCACCACCCACTCCATGGAGGAGGCTGATGTTTATGCTGGTGAGCCCAGATTTTCACACTGTGGTTGACTGCTGTTTGCAAACAAGGTTTTTCCCATTGCAAAGCCCACGTAGGGGACCCATCATGATGCAGTCTCTCTTTGTTGGACACGTTTTCTCTGATACCAACCACCCAACCCAGGCTGAGCAAAAGCTAAAATTGGATTGATGTGCCCCTCCAAGACCTTGTTTTTACTCTGCTTTTGGGATGAAGCAGTTGCCTATTATATGGATATAGCATGAGCAACACCCACACAAATTAGTGATATTGTTTGAATTAGTATCTTCCCCGTTTCCTTATTGCTCCTGGGCTGCATGGGAAATTTTCCACAAGCCTGTAAGAATGCATAATTACACAATTAACCTTGATGCTCAGGAGAAAAGCAGCAGCTTGAAAAGAGGAAAAACCTTCAGCCCTGGCTGGGTTTTACTCCTCTTGACTTCATTATAAAAATGCCTGTTGAGTTCAGAAGGAGCAGGGTGAGGTCAGGCTACTGCATGGTTGTAAATCCCCCCCTAAATCCTTTGTATTCACTCTTCCTTAGATAGGAAAGCTTTCCTCTCCAATGGGAGATTACAGTGTGTGGGCTCCTCTCTGTACTTGAAGAGAAAATGGGGAATTGGCTATCACTTAAGGTAAATCCTTCTCTTTTTGGTCATCAGTCTTTTTATGAAAAGCTTCTAGTTGATGTATTTTCTTGTAGAGTCTGTGTCTCTGTAGAATTTCTGTGTCGAGTAATAGAAATCTTGATAATTCATTTTAGAAGACTTTCCAGGCTGCCAAAAATATCTTGCTTTGGACAGCGAGCTGCTTTGCTTTGGAACACAAAGCATCTGAGCATGTAGCTAAAATGACTTCACAACCTCCTCCCCAGCTAAAAGGGGACCAGGGCAAGATGATTTGCAGTTTCTACATACTCTGTTGTCCCAGTGACACACAAAGGCTTTAACATGAACTTGTTTTACTTTGGATTTTAATTTCTGTGCTCTTGGTTTAGCAGTACTGCCCAGGGTCATTGTTCTTTTCTTCAACTATGTCTTGCATGCATGGCAAAAGCAGAGGCACTGCAGACATCATTAAAATCCCTCACCAAAGTGCTGCCCAGTTCTGGAGGTTCCCGACAGCTTGAAGAACCACCCTTGGCTTTGTGTATTACAGGGATGAGATCTGCATTATTTTTCAGATTTAATATTCTAGCCATCTCTTTTTCATCCAAACAGGATGCACATCAATGACCTGTGTGACCCTGAGCTTCCAACAGCCCTGGTGAGGCAGCACATCCCTGGGGCTGTGCTGAAGGGACAGAAGCAGGGTGAGCTGTGTTACATGCTGCCTCTGGAAAACACCCAGAGCTTCCCAGGTAAGAGAAACCTGTCCTTGGGCCAGGCTTGTAAAGGAGAACCAAGTGGTGGGAAAAGCAGAAAGCAATGTTGCTGTGGAGGGAATAATGATATTCCCTGCTCCATGCTGACTGCTGGAATGTACCAGATTAATCACACCAGCCTGAGTTTCTAGCTGTGGTCTCTGGGCTGAGAGTTCTTGTTTCTGTGGTGCAGATCTGTTCAGGCATCTCGAGAGCAGCCTTCTGCAGGGCCTTGTGAATTATGAGGTTAGCAGGACAACCCTGGAAGATGTTTTCATGACACTGGAGGGTGAGGAAGCCATCGATACAGAAGGTAAAATGTTGAGTCCAATTTGCAAGTGTGGCAGGATTAAGTTTCCATATATACATATGTTTTAATTTAATCATAGAATCCTTTAGGTTGGAAGGGACCTCCAAGATCATCAAGTCCAACCATATCTAATGTGTTTCTATTAAGTGTGAATTTTGGTAAGGTTTGGTAGGGCAAGAGTTGCAGTTGTATTCAGCTTCCCTCAGGTGAAGAATATCTTCTTGGAGAAGCCTTAGATAATTCAGTCTTGACTTCCCACAGGCTTTTAAGCACAAGACTTGCAGACTGATGTTAGAAGGGTGTTTGTCTTTGAAGGGTATACTACCTAGACCAGAAGATGGGAAAAGAGAAACCAGCCAGAAGGCATTTCACAAGGCCAGTGAAGATACTGGAGGTGTTACCATGTGAGCCAAGGTTCAGCCAGTCTGAATTCACTAATGTAAACTCTGTTCTGGATGAATTATGGCCCCTTCTCTCTGCCTATGTTTCTTTTCAAGGGACAAAAAAAGAAAACAAACAAACAAAAAAAAAGCAAAACCAAGAAAACACAAGGAAAGAAGGAAAGATTCCTCTATTTGGAGCAGAAGATCCTTGTTGGTTGTTTGCAATTAAAATGTGTCCTTTGAATGCTCTTTGTGGATAATGGACATGAGCCACCAATGCTCAATGGCAGCCCAGAAGCCAAATCAAATCCTGGGCTGCATCCAAAGCAGCTTGGCCAGCAGATGGAGGTGATCCTGTCCCTTTGCTCTGCCCTGGGGAGACCTCACCTGGAGTCTGTGTCTAGCTCTGGAGCCACCACCACAAGGATGTGGACCTGTTGGAGCGTGTCCAAAGAAGAGCCATGAGAATGATCCGAGGGCTGGAGCAGCTCTGCTGTGAGGACAGGCTGAGAGAGTTGGGGCTGTTCAGCCTGGAGAAGAGGAGGCTCTAGGGGGACCTTATAGCCACCTTCCAGTACCTGAAAAGGGCCTACAAGAAAGCAGGGGAGGGACTGTTCACAAGGGTTTGTAGTGACAGGACGAGGGGGAATGGGTTGAAGCTGGAAAAGGGAAGATTTAGGTTAGAATTTAGGAAAAAGTTATTTAATGTGAGGAGGTTAGACCACTGGAATAGGTTACCCAGAGAGGTGGTGGAGACCCCATCCCTGGGGACATTCAAGATCAGGCTGGGTGAAGCTCCAAGCAGCTTGACCTAGTTGGAGATGTCCCTGCTTATGGCAGGGGGGTTGGACCCAATGACCTTTGGAGGTCCCTTCCAGCCTGAACGTTGTATGATTCTATGTCTCTGTGCTCATGGTGTTTCTCTTGCTGAAGAGGCAGAAGCTGGGCAGCAGGAGGAGAGGGGCCCGAGCCCCACGGCGTGGCCGGGGCAGCGGAGCGCGGCGCTGAGCGGGATGTCTCTCTGGAGGCAGCAAGTCTCTGCTGTGATGAGAGTTCGTTTCCTAAAGCTGAAGCATGAGGGAAAGTTCCTCAGGTCCATGTGAGTACAGGAGCTCTCGCCCAATCTGCAGCCCTCGTGCTGGCTTGGTGCTTTTCAAAGGGTTTGAGCACTCCCTTGGGTGGCTGAGGGAAGGCTGAAATGCTGGTGGAGATGGTTGGGAGCAGAGAATTCAGTGGGAAATATTTAAAACTGCATTAATAAGGGCAATCAGAACTTCCTGGTAGAGCTCTGAATTGCTTAAGTCTTCAATTTCCCCTTGCCTTTCTCAACATAAACCACACCATTGAAAGTGGAGTTCCCCTGGACTCATTTCTGGTCTGTTTTTCCAACTAGATTGCTGTTCCTTGGAATATTCATCCTGCCAATGCTGATAGTTCTCATAACATTTCACCTGTGGGAAAGCTACAGTAGGTGGGAAATCACAGCTAGCTCCTATTTTCTTCCCACTGAAGACAAAATTCAAAATAAGTCAACAAATCTTCTCATCTTCAATGATACAGGTGAAGAACGGGTGATGTTGATGTGATGCACCACTCTGAGTCCTCTCCGAGCTGATGGACCACCCTTGCCTTACTCTTTCTGCACATTCCTTTGTATATTTGTGGCTTTGGGAGGTGATTTCTTTTGAGCAAAAGCAAATCCTTTTTTTAGTGGTGATATCTGAGTAGCTGCTACTTAAAAGAGTAATGAACCAGGTAAATTTAAAACAAGAAAAAAGTCATAAATGAGGAAAGTATGGAAACATACATTGTGTTTAACCAGTTCCATTAAAATTTAAAAATAAATAAAACAGAGAAAATATAACTTGCTTAGGTTCTGAATGTTCAGCTTATTTTATCAGACCTCTGCTTTGCAAGAAGGAGCTTGTCTCTGTGTAACTGTTTCTATTTAAAGAACAACACTCTAATTAATTTCTATTCTTTACTTGCTCTCAGGATCACAAATTGAGGATTTTATTGCTGCTTTGAAGGCTCAGAACATAACCCCAGAAATAAGTCATGAGAAAAACATCACAAGCATTCCACTATATAATGGAGCTATAAAAATATCCCTGGAAGGCAAGGTGAGAGATGTTTTTCCTTCTTCCCTCCTGTGTGTCAACAGGATTTTCTGAAATGTTTTTAAATGAGACACGGTGAAATACTCACCTCAGCAAAATGCAGAATATTTGTTGGACAGGTTAAATGATGTTGGTAGCCCTGTTTGCAGGAAACCAGGATTAGAGTTGGTTCTTTCCACTGCCTGCTTCTTTACAGTGATCTGTAGGAAAAGCATTAGTGCAAGACTTTTGTGCTTTTCTACAGAAACTATGATCTATCAATCATTTCATGATTTCTTCTCGTGGTACTATTAACCCACTTCCAGGTCTCTGTGGTCCCACCAACAGAACCATCTGATTGCCTTTGTTGTTGCTTTTCTCCAAGCCCCCCCAGGGCTCAGCTCCTCCTCAGGGGTATGCAGGTAACTTCTTTTGCTCTTACATCTTCAGAGCTACAGGTTCACGGTCATGTGCAGAGTAGAAACCATCAACTGTTTCCCCCTGCTCGTGAACCTCCTCAGCAACACCTTCCTAAGGCTCTTCAACTCCACCACACACATCCGTGTCTGGAGCGAGCCCTTCTACACTGTGAGTGTCCTGCCTCTCCTGGGGATAATTAATTGCAGTAGCCATGCTGAAGTGAGAAGGACTGGATGGGTTGGAAACCTGGTTGGATGAGCGACCTCCAAGGGTTGGGGTCAGCGGTGCCACTGCTTGGGTAGTTCCTGAGGGCATGTCAATCTGTTGCTATTTAATTACAACTCCTGCAAAGAATCATAGAAAGTTTTGGGTGGGAAGGGACCTTTCAAGGTCATTGAGTCCAACCCCCCTTGCAGGGAGCAGGGACATCTGCAACAAGAGCAGGTTGCTCAGAGCCCCATCCAACGTGACCTGGGATGGTTCCAGGGTTAGGGCACTGACCACCTCTCTGGGCAGCCTGGGCCAGTGTTTCATTGCCCTCATTGTATAACATTTCCCCCTCCTCTCTAGCCTAAATCTCCCTCTTTTAGTTTCAAACCATCACTCCTTGTCCTGTCACAACAGGTCCTGCTAAAAGCTCTGTCCCCAGCTTCCCTGTAGGCTCCCTTCAAGTGCTGAACAGCTGCAATAAGGTCTCCTGGAGAGTCTCCTGCAGTGTTCAAGAGCTCTGAAGGGTTTCAGTGCCACATTTAAGCTTGAGCTATGTGGCAACATGGTAGGACTACAACAGTGATACTTGCAAACCCCACCTTCCAGTCAGCAGCTCCTTGGCAAGAATCAACATCAAAAAACGGTCTCTGTCCTCAGGAATTTCCAGTCATCCCAATACTTTCTGCAAACTCCAAGATGCTAAATGCTTTTTTTGTTGCCTTGATGTGTGTTCTTCAACACAAATGACCTACCCTTCATGTTGTTGCTCATCTGCCTAACCATCCTAGGAGCGTTGAGCTAGATAGACTTTCCCTGGGCAACTGTTGATTATTCACAACTCTGAACTCCTCCTCCACAGACCAGAAGACCAGAAGCAAGGATGGACACCTTTTTATTCTGCCTCAGCTTCATGGTCATTTTTGCTGCTGGGTTGCCACCTCAGTTTGCAGTGAGCAGCATGGAGGATTACAAGGTAAAACCCATGAGCTGGAAACAGGAATGTCTCCAGAGAGCACTTCACGTGCTGATGGGCTGCCCAGAATTTCTAGGTAGGATGCTAGAAGAGGTACAGCCCCACCTGCACGTTGTACCAAAGCCCATTACCCTGCACCTCAAGGAACCAGCTGGGGCTCAGGATAATTGGAGTGTTAATAAAGATTTTGGGGTCAAAGATTTTGAGGTCAGAAGGATTTTTTAATTTTTTTTTTTCTTTTTATGAATGTTGTGTTTTTAAACAATAATAGAACTAAGAAAGGCTTGAAAGTGCTTATTTTTTAATTTTTTTTTTTTTCTTTTTAGGAATGTTGTGGTTTTAAACAATAGTAGAACTAAGAAAGGATCAAAAGTGCTAGGAAAGGAGAGGAAGGCTGAGCCAAGGAAGGGAGGAGTGTGGGTGGTGAAGGAGGAGGAGCAGCAGGAGTGATGTCTTGGGCTCTTCTACATCATCTCTTTCCCCACTTGCCTTCACAGCGCGGGGCTCGTGCCCAGCTGCGGCTGGCGGGGCTCTTCCCCTCAGCATACTGGTGTGGGCAGGCACTGGTGGACATCCCACTCTTCTGGACCCTGGTGTGCCTCATGTTTGGGGTCGTGCTGCTGGTGAACCGCACCTGCCCCTTGCGGGCCAGCGACCTGCTGACCCTGGTGAGCTCCACACGGGGGAAGGGGCAGAGGCAGATCCCCCTCCCTCGGGTCACGGGGAGATTTGCTTGAAATATTTTCATCCAAAGGGGTTGCTGGAGGTAGGTTTCCATATCTCCACACCCATCTCCTTGTGGCTGACCTTGGTGTCCCTCTCTAGGGCGCTTGCGTCGTTAGTTATGGAGCATCTCTTGTCCTCCTCGTCTACTTAATTGCCTTTAAATTCCGCACGGGACGGAGCAGTCGCTACATTTGGTCTTTCATCTTCAGTCTGGTAAGTGAATCTTCACTCTGGATCGTTTGATTTACACGTTGGGCCATCTGAGGTTTCATGGCAAACACGCCGATATCCAACAGAGGAACCCCCTCAGTGACACACTCTCCATTTTTTAGCAAGAAGACATTAATGCTGGAAATCCTTTTTCTGCTGTACTCCAGGTGAATTTCACTCTCTACCTGTTCAGTGACCTACAGGACACAGTTTTCTTCATCTCCTGTGCTTTGTTTCCTGTCTTTCCACTGCAGGGCTGGTTCGTCTCCACTGTACAAGTAAGTAAACACCTCCCACTTGAATTCAACAATGGTCCTAATGGTGCAAGCTGGGAAAGCAAGAGGCACTTTGCAAATTTCTTGTCTCAAAGTGCCAACTGTCAAAAAGAGAGAGTGAGGAAAGACAACAGGAGAAAAGGTCCAGGCTGGGGATTGAGAGAAAAGACCAAGATTTGACTTGTTAGTCCTTTGATTGGGATATTTTTGGTTTGCTCACTTACAAAATGCTGTTACAATGACTAGTTTGGCAGCCAGGGTAGCATTGGGAGGGGAAGGTGCTGGAGTGGGAAGCCCTGGGGGGATGAAATGAGCTGAGAAGGAGGTGAAAGGACTCCAAGATAGAAGCAATGATGGGAAAGGTTGATCCAACCTGGCTGATTCGAGGTGCCTCTTTGAGGCAATAGGAGCCAAATAAAGAAGAAGTCCAGATCAAAGCTCCTTTTTCAGCCCTTGAAGGAAAGCCAAACATCCCTACATCCCACACCTGCACTGAGGAATACTCTGCTAAGGAATTCTGCTAATTGATATTTTTTCTTCCTGTAGCTTGTATTACCTGCTTTCCACATGGAGACTTCTGAGTTATGGGGTTACATCTTCATGCCCATCTTTGCAGTAAGGACCAGTTTGATGATGGTTGTTTTGGAAAAGATGACTGTTCTAATACAACGGACTTGTGCTGGGCTTGTATAACTCTCCCCATAAATAAAGCACGGGTTATGTGGTCAAAGTGAACATGCACACTAAATTTTGGCAGGGGAGGTACATCCAAGTAATCATGGGCTTGTGTCTCACGTGACCCCTGGATGCTGGAACAAACATGCAAAGGTGGGGGGGGGATTGAGTGTAGCTCATGTATAAAGCAGAGATATTATTAATCAACTAATCAGCCTAATGTTGCCTCTACAAGAAAAAAAAAGATGTGATCTCTGAGGGATGTCTGTTGGGGTGCAGATCATCGGAGCTAAAGCTGCATTCCAAGGCAAGGCTTTTGCAAATGATCTGTGTATGAGATGGAAATGCATGCAAAGCATCAACTGAACATCTTTGCTTTGTGGACTTTTTCAATAGCTGGAGTAAATGAGCTAGGTCCCTGCATCTGCTTATCATTAAAATGATTTGAGTGTCTCGTTACCTTGTCTCCATACAAACCTGATGAATTTTTGCCTTTTAGCCTTACATCCATTGTGTGATTTTCGCTTTCCTCCTGCGCTGTTTGGAGATGAGATGTGGAGAAGCACTTACCAGCCTTGATCCTGTCTTCAGGTGAGTGCCAGGGATGCCCTGGGATGAGCTGAGCTTATCCTGGGCTGTGGGGTGGGCTCGGTGCTGCACAGCCAGGCAGGACCCAGCCTGGCTCACCCCTGACAGCAGGAGAAGGGAAGGAGTGAACTTTAAAAAACCATTTTGAACTTAAAGCCATTTTGCAGTGTGGATAAAGCTTCTGTCTGCAGTTTTAACCAGCTTGTCTGGAGGATACTGAGAAGGAAGGGAGGGATTTTTTTTTTATTCCTTTGGGTCATTACAGCTTCCAACTTTACTTACTGGAGTTTCCCTGAATGTGTCTGGAGGCAAATTCCCACTCTAGTGTGTTGCAATAGAAGGTCAGTTGAGCTACAATGTCCTAGAGAGACTGACAGATGTGATTTAAGCTTTTTTTTTTTTTAACTAAGCTTCATAGCTGAGGTTTCAGGACAATTCATTATATCTGGCTAAAGTAATAGTTACCAATTGAAATCCAACATTTTAACTCCTTTCCAAACGTCTCGGGATTGCTCTCTGCAGGATGGAGACCTCCTCTAAAGCTTGATCAGGCTGGGTTCATCTGCTCTCTGCTTATCTGTCAGCAACAGCATGCCACCGACCACCTAAGGCATGTGGGAGAAGATCTGTAAAGCTTATTAGATCATCAGGCATTAACAAATGTGACTCAGCCAGGAGTTAGATGCCCAAATAGCTTTAAAACCTGCCCCGTTTATTTGAATTCTCCTTGGACAGATCGTTGGCATGTGTCATGCAAGGAGCCAGTCAACACTTACTGATGAAGGAAAAGCTAAAGCTGACCTTTATTTTCTCATGCATGCCAGTGAGATTGTTTTTTTTAAATTCCCCATGAATAAATACTTGAGCAAACACTGTGGAACAGCTCCCTGAAGTCCAATAAATTTTGTGGGGCGCTGCATTGGCACTGCCCGCAGAACAAACTTGTAAAACCAAGCCTTTTTGGAAGTGATTCCTGGTGACACCATCTCTCCTCCTTCACTCACAGGATCCAGAAGAGGAGAGCAGTTGCCCAGCAGAACAGGGACCACCCCGGGGAGGAGTCCCCAGAAGTGCAGGTGGAGAGGGAGAGGGTGAGGAGAGCGATGACCTCCCCGCAGCAGGAGGAGGTGAAAACAGCCTTCTGGCTTCTTTTCCTTTTCATTCTCCACCTTCAGGTCTGCCTCTGCTTTCTTGGCTCCTGCACTTATTTACTGATCTGATGTCTAAATGCACATCTCACCCCCCAGCCCCTGGTCATCACCCTGGCACCAAATTGGGTTTAGCTGGCACTACGTTTTTATTCCCATTCTGCTTTTTTTCCCTTGTTATTCTGTGGCTCTGTTTCCTGGATTTTTAATTTAGACATTTCTCTTTAAAGAGTCATACTTAATGGTAAGAACAGATGACCTGTCTCATGGGATAGGAGGAGAGTTTTTATTTCCCACTTGATCTCTTCACAGGAGTCAGTTATCGTCGTCAACAGTTTGCGCAAGGAGTATGAGGACAAGAAAGCCAGCTCCATCTTTAAGAAAAAAAAGAAAGTTGCTGTCAAAAACCTGTCTTTCAGTGTGAAAAAAGGTCCGAGTCTTTTGCTTCACTCCCTGTAAATGACTAAAATCTAACAGGGGGGTCATATTTGGGGACTGTGTTTTTGTTAGGGTTTTCTTGTGTGCCACCAGCCCCAACTCACCCAGGTCCCTGTGTTCATGGTTTTAATTTATGGGGATAAGTTCATGAACAACCCTTTCTCCTGCAGTAATTTTAGATATTGCTTAGCACACAGGGAAGAAGGTCTTATTAGCAAGAATTATTATTAACAATTCTTGCATATTTGTTCCAGGAGAAGTATTAGGTCTGTTAGGACCCAACGGAGCTGGAAAAAGCACCACAATAAACATGATTTCTGGAGACATAACGGTGACTGCTGGGGAGGTAGGTGGGTCCTGCAGAGCAGCTGGTGGGATCACCTCGGTGCCTTGGTAAATGAAGGATGTGATAAGGCAAGCAGGCAACGCAGCCCCTAAGTCAGGGATTTTATGCACGAGCAACCCTGGATGTTCACAGAAGTCAGAAGAAAGTGGTTTACTCAAAGCACCATCTAGTTTTCCTCAAAATCAGTATTACAGACTGAAGGCTTTGAGCTACACAGATTCTTCCGTGTGCATTTGAAACCCATCATGAAATTTCACAAGCCTCCTACGAAATGTTGACATCTAGAAAAAAAAATAACACTCCTCATAAACAGCCTTGCAACCCCAGGAAATTGAAAACGAATGGGAACAGGGTTGGGCCAGTAACAATCCATCAGTTAATTATGTGCAGGATGATTAATGACATCTGCTGGAGGAGGGGAAATGCCATTGCTGTTACAGATTTGGGACTGGATGTCTGAAATAGAAACGTAGGACT